AATGATTTATATAGGCTAAAACCAGCTTTTTCCAGGACAGAAGTTCCTTCAGGTTCTTCATGTTTTGATGTGCTTCAAATTTCTTTTCATAATACTTGTCTGCCCTCACTACCTTCTCTGTCGAAGAAACAACATGAAGAACTAGGTGATGATAGATCTCATCTTTGCCAGAGGCACCAAGGTCAATCCTACTCCCTACTTCACAGCACAGACGACAAATCTTGAAATGGAACGATGCCACGGTTCCCACGGCCACGAGGAGTTCGAGTTAGTGAGGTTTTTCTACACCAGCTTGTACATTCCGTAGAGTTCGTACTTGGTGCAGTTTCTAAAACAGCTTCCTATCTACACGCCTATGGGCCCTCGGGTAAAAAATAAATACATTTTAGCATTATTCTAACCTAAATGCTGCTACACTTATTATACCCGCCATTTTAAAAATGGATTTGGACATTCATGTAGCTTGCGAGTGTAAGGATCATACCCTCCTGTTTTTTAGCTTTAACGAAACTGGTATTCACGGCAAGTGAAAAATAAATCCGACTACCAAGCCTATCATAATAATACCTATGCTAATTAGAGGGATGTTTGAAATTAAAACTAGATCTTTGAAAGAGTGATTTATAACAGTAGTCCCTTTACTCTTAATGTTAAATATATTCAAATGAGTTCTTCAGGTCCAAATTTATGTATTTAGATAGCGCTATCATTTATAAGCTTTTTAGTCGAGATACACGTAACCTTTGATTGTGGTATCATTTATAGTCACTCAGCCAAGCGCATTCGGAGTTCTCGAGTGTATTTTACGACAAGGTTCTGCTCCTAGCTTGGGGGTTGGTTCTGCCACACCTTTTCTTTTTCTTCCTCTTTTCAACAAAAATGCATTGGAGGAATCAATAAGATGATAACCATTTACTTCTTGACATCTGCAGGTTCAATAGTTTGATCATCCGAATGGTGTAGGAATAGCTATTTTTCATTTGTGCAACTGTCGGAGTTCTAAGCGCTTTCCTGCCCGCCTTTGGGCTCCACTGGGTGGAGTTTCAGAACAAAAATTCCCCCCTTCTCGTATTCGTTCACCGGGAGAAGGATGAGTGACGACATATTTCTGAAGCTTGGCCATCAACTCAACTCCCAAGGAAAATCATGAGGTTAGTTCCAAAAACTTATTCAATTCTTCCACCGTTGCATATTATAACTGTTTTCCAAATAATTAACAAGTTTTGTTGATAATATTACTTTTTTACACCACACACACACGAATGTTTAAAAACAATACACTGAGTTCAAAATACTATTTTAGTTTATGTATTTTTAATTTCATTTTATTTTAGTATTTATATTTTTAAATGTTTCATACTTTTAATAAAATTTAAATTAAGTAATTCAAAGTTTTTAAGATTTATTGCAAGTAGATGATAAACTCTGGACACTCTCTTTTTCCTTTTCCTTTTTCTTTTTCTTTTCTTTTTTCGTTATTGAAAAATTTATAATGGTATTAAAATTTTAAAACAAAAAATAATTCCTCAAGACCACTCACTTCTAGAAAATGGTTCTAATTTTGGTAATATTTTGTGCTGAGCTGAACAATTGATAATAGATTTCTTTCAAAAAATTTAGGAAGTATATTACATTACATTTTTTTTTTTTTTAATAAGGGTCTTGTTGATAATGACTTTTTTTTTTTTTTTTTTTTTTT